TACAGAGGCGCCATGGAGGGATGAGGGAGCGAGAGCCGTGAAACGAGGACATGGAACTGAATTATCGCCGTCCTTTCCCCGCTTCATCATTGGACTGGCATATTGGAAGACTCTAGAAAATCAGGGGGATTATTAGTTGTCGGTCTGGCGATCCCTCCATGTTCGGTTCTGTACGGGATCCCATGGGCAAGGTTTTACGAGGAGCCACGAGCCCAATGCTAAGGGGTCTACACGATGGAACAGTTCGCGAAGCTCTGGTTTTGATATTGTTACCTCGATGCATCAATGGAGGGATGGGCTATCGTATAAGGAAGCACGTCTGATTCGCCCCTGTTACGACCAATATTTAGAGGTGCTGTCCGTAGAGGATTACTATACCTTTTTCGATGAAATATATCTGATCTCATGTATACAATATATCAATAAACCCCGATCCTGCCAACCGACTCCGAACGCCGCCACTCGATCGATCCTCCTCCAATTTCTCTCAGCTCGAAACATCACGCCGTCGCGACGACGGGCACGAGTCAGCTCTCTCGTATGGTGAATCGGAGTAGGCTGATTCCATAGTTTCGAGAAAGCTCGCGCATTCGGAATCACGGCGGTGGGAGACGTCCAGGAACCGCTGTGTATTCAGTGCCCCGAAGTGGCTTCGAGTTCGGAAGAGCAATCGAGATCTGTCAGGGAAGGTGCGATATGCTAACAAAAAACCGTCTCCTTCCGATCGTACGGTGTGCTCTGGCGACCCTCAATCTTGAGCCCCATCGAAACTAGAGACGGAAGCAAAAGGTGCCATCGTGACAGGATTTCAGAGCGGTCGAACCTGCACACGACCGCGACGGCAGGGCTGAACCACACAGCCTCGGCGACGCAGCTCGCGGTGACATCATACCTAGCGTACCCCGCCGCTCACGGAGGCCGCTGGAAGACAGGGACAGTTGTTGAAGTTACAATTGATTTCTAAATTATAATTTCAACAACTAAGCGCCCAATCCACCGGGCGCTGACGGAGGGATGTCACTGTCAATGCTAGATCTTGTATGCTATAGAAGGGGTGGTCGGAGCTCTATATACCCTCGTTCTAGTAACTCATCAGCCGAAGAGGTCTGCGGGTGGTTGGTCGTCCAACTCCCGCTCAGCCAAGATCTCTTCGAGAATTGATGAAAATGAGCTGTGAACTGCATTTCCGGAGATCGAATTCTATAAGATCACCTCCGTGATACTGCCGTTTTATTGCACGCAACTTACCATTACTGATCTTCGAGGCAGCGTCGAGGCAGAGACCGCCATTGAGCTCAGTGAGTCGTGGGCCGCGGCAGAGAACGAGTCCCCGCGAGACGGACGTAAGCTTGGGACTAGTCCGCACGAATAGGGG